GAAACTCATCCTATAACCCATATTAGTCAAATAAGATAAACACTATAAATCCTATTGGTATTTTACCAGATACCAATAACCTTTACTTATTTAACTCGGGTCCTAGTCATCATAGGGTGTGATACTTATCCGGATATCTTATAAAAATATAATTTCCTTAATATTTCAAGTCCTAGATATCCTAGAGAGAGATGGAGAGAGACATAGTATTCCAGTTGCTTTGCTCCTTCCATTGGCTTGTTCATGCCACTTGTGTGACCCACTTAGTGTCACTCACTTCGCCATTAATACTGTTACATTCTCCCCTCCTTAAAAGTCATTGTTCTCAATGACCTCAAAAAAAAAATTTTTGGTTATTTTTGATATTTTTAAGTGGAGATGTGGCAAGTACGGCGGTTGCGGCTGGTGTGGCGTCATATTCTGGAGCAAGTAGTGTTGTCCTTGGCAACTTCTATATTCCTGTGGCGTCGTCCGTGTTACGTTTCGCGGCATTTCGCTTTGCGTTTCGGGAGTGTCATCGTTTCGCGCTTCGTGTAACATGGCGGCGTGCGATCATTTCGTGACGTATTCGTGCGACAGAGTGCGGCGTCAATCGTGATAGAATTTCTGGCGGCGGGAATTGCTGTGGCGCATTGTGGTTGATGGCGGCAGCGATTACTGCAGCATTCCATGCGTTGCACGGCGTCGTATCGTACTGTGGCGTCGTGTGCAGTGGCATCCTGTGCTGTAGCGTCTTGTCTTGTCTCGCGGCACGTTATACGGTGGTGTATCACGTCATGGCGTTTCATCTAGCATGTTGTACAGTGGCGTCCCGTGTTGCGACGTCATTACATTGTGTTTTATGGCGTTCTGTGGCGGCGCGGCATTTCGTGTAGTGGCGTTCTGTCTTGTAGCATTCTTGCGGCGTCTCGTGTACATTAGTGTTGTGCGGCGGCATTTTGTCTGTCAGTGAGGCGTGGTTTTATGCAGCGGTGTTTAAGTCTTCAGGTGTTCTAGTGGCAATATCTCATTGCGGCGTCGTCTCATCGATGCTGCGGCATTACATTGCGGCGGCATCCGGCACGTACAATGGCATCCCATCGGTGCGGCGGTGACCTCATGTTACGGCGGCACTGGGCGCATATAGCGACAACTTCATGCTATGGCGACGTCCCGTCGATGCGGCGGCGATCCTATAACGTGGCGACATCCGGCACTTCAAGTGGTAACTTCTTTTTGCAGCGGTGTCCCGTCGATACTGTGGCAATCCCATATTGCGGCAGCATCCGGCGCATATAGCGGTAACTTCGTGTTACGACGGCGTCCCGGTAGTGCGGCAGCAATTCTATATTGCGGCAGCGTTCCGGCACTTGTCTTTAGGTTCCACGGTGCTGCGGCGACCTCTTGTCCCGGCAGTATCCGGAGCTTCTTGCGGCATCTTCATGGTGTTGTGGCGTCCTTGTGCTACGGTGTTCCAGCGGTACAGTGGTGTCCTTGCGCTACGTTGGTGTCTCTGCGTTACGTTGGCATCCTTGCTTCGTACTACGTTTCACTATCATATGATGCAATGAGCCATTTATCTTCATTCTGGTGCGTTGGATCGTCGTGTCACGTGATACGGTCGTTGTTTCGTCCTAAATCTGTAGGGCAAATCATTGACTCAGTTCCAGTCAATGGTGAGAGTCATTAGTGGTTTCCTCCTGGCATAATCAGATCATTTGCAAATGATGTCATTCAGTCATTACAGATTGTCCAATCATAACATATCATCCTGCAGATCAGATTTCTTATATATAAACCATATTGTTTACATCAGCGTAATCTTTAATCCTCATCCCACACAATTTGGCTTTCATAGTACTTTAGGGTATTATGATTCACAAAGGAACCTTTGGTGTAGGAGCAAATATTGATGTTTGTCCTGGTCACCTTTGTGATGTTAAGGTAGCCTTCCTTGTGTAAGTGTTTGACCTGGTTACATGGTGATGTCAAGGTGGTCAAGATTTTTTCTATGGTACAACTCCTGCGTGACCTTTAGTGAGAAGGTTCTTGGATGATCTTTGGGCAGGATTCCTTGAGAAGAACAGTCCTTTTTTATTAATAACCTAGTTTTTATTGCTTTCCTTTCTCTTCCCTAGTATGAATGGAAAATCAAGGGACTCCTCAAAAATTCACGCTTAACAGTAGAATATGTCCATGACATAGAGCCATTAGAGTGTCAGTTGTCAGTACCATTTCCTCCTAGTGATACCTTCAATGACCTTCATAAATTTAACCTTGAAGCAAGATGGTTTATTTATTTCCAAAGTGGTATGGGTGTGGTGGTGTTTTCAGAGCTCAGACCTTGTGTTACCCTTGCGTAAACCTTCGTGGTATCTTTGTTCAGCCTTTGGAAATCCTTTCAGAAACTTTTAGTAAGTCTTTTACCAATCAAACCTTTATTTGATCTTCAAAATGCCTTCATGTAGCTTCGTTTAACCTTGTAGATCCTTTTTCATGAGATCTGGTGGTGTCCTTAGATGTAGCATATCTTTAAACCTTCGTGTGACTTTTGCGATCCCTTTGTCGATCCCTTTGCATAACCCTTTCATAGACCTTCATAGTGACCTCAAATTCACTTCACGTAATCTTTGTATACCTTTGCCAATCCTGTGTAATATTGGGCGAACCATTGTGAAACTTGGGGAGATAAGAGCAATGAAACAAGAAAGAATTATTCAAGAAAAGTGATAAGAAATATTTTCCTTAAGAAAAAAAGCAAGAAGAAAGAAAACAAGAAGGAATTTTTAAGAAAAGAGTAGGATAAAAGAAGCATTCGCTGCTATCAAATGTAACATTCCATATTACAACATATAATATTTCATATTAAAGAAGTCATAAACAAGGCATTGTTTGTAATTAATAAAGGAAAACTTTATTAAATATAAAAGAAATCAAACAACTTTGTTATTTCCTAAAGGAAAAAGAACTCCTTTAAATACATGTTTTTCTAACATAAATAAATATAATAAAAATACATAATTAAAAATACACATATAATCTTATTAATTCTCCAGAGATCATATGCGCCTAATTAATTAAATGAAACATAAAAGAAAATAAAAAGAAAAGATAAAAATAGAAAA